GTAGGGAAAGGATTATAATCAAGGTTAGTTAGCCTTTTTGAAAGTAGGTCCTTTGAGAAACAGATTATCATAGTTTCCTGGCATAATTAGAACTAACTCGAACTAGTATAGTTTTAAACCAAAGAGTATTTGTTTTGGGATAGTGTTTCTTCCGTAACGTACGGGGTCTGAGCCATGCAATTCAGATATTCTGTGCTTTGCTTTCCCATCCTATGTAAGGGTCCGCTTTCTCGGTTTCCGATCACTGTTCTCCCGCCTTCTAACACATAGATTGGTCCTCTGGAATCTGCTTACACTTTGTACTTCAGATGATAGGTGAAATCTGAGGTGATTGCACCATTTTGTGACTCCATGGTTTACGAAAAACCGTGTTTTACAAGGTAGTTAATGGTGGAAATTTTGTCCTGTAGGTAAAACCAATCTTTGCTGAAAGGCCAAAAAGCATTGTACATTCACTTCGTGAAAAAAGCGCATCTCACGATAGCTTCGAGTCCGCGACCTCTCGACCTTTACAAAAACTAACTGTTTTTTTGACGAGGTCATGTGGTCAAACTAGATTCATTTAGCACTAGCTAGGAAGGCATATGTAAACAACTTTGCATCAGACCTTTAATCACGAAATATTTACTCAGATGCGTTGGTTTAAGAAGCGCAGTTATCCCCACTGTTTTTGCACACTTTTCAACACTGCAATGTTTTTATGGTTTAACTACATAGGCTAACTTTGGCTGCCAGATGAGGAGCAGAGCCCTTGCTGTGGTGGAACGTACAAATTTGGTGGCTCACAAATTGATTAGTGCATTTCGAGACCCATAACGACTGAGTTTTACTTTAATCGAACAGCAACAAATATAGCTCACGCTTTCTTATGACAGATACACAAACTGCTCTTCAAACTAGGTTAATGGGATGGTGTCTTCAGATGTACAACTCACCTGAGAGGCAGCCTATCATAACAATAAAGAGTTTGAGACTGGCCATTTAATTTAATTTTAATTTTTGTTCACTGCTTCACTTTTCTGCTACCGAGTAATTTGATAAAATCCCATTGCTTCTCAATACGAATATGTCTAGACACACGGAAAATATCAGTCTGACTTGATTTGTACAGCCATGAAAATGGTTGGACAGTGAAGCAACACCTTCGTTGCCTCTATCAGTTTTTCATCCAGGAATCGCTTTTTCCTCAAGTTTAATGTAATGCACGGATGGACCCAAACCCATCAAGGTCCAATCTTAAAATAAATCAGGCTTTTTTACCAGACGTTTCTATCATAGTTACTGTGTTCAGTCCTATCATCCGTCATTTCGCGCTAGATCTTCGATTGGCACCGATGCTTGTCGGTAAACTATCACGTAGGGTACCACTTGATAACACAGAATCGAAAAGGCTTGAAAATTTGTCTCGCATACCTGAATTCTGTACTCTTTAAAAAATAAAAAGGGAACCTAGGATATGGTTCCCTATTTTATTATAAGAAGAACCAGATAACTCAGTATTTTTAAAAAAACATTACTACGCAAAAGTACAATGGAGCGGCGACTGGAAGTGAACCTTAAAACTGTGCTGCGAACGCCTCCAAAGATCAGATGGTTAATGTGGATCACGATATCGTTAGAAATGGACAACGAAATATCTTGATTGCTTACTCTACTTAGGATATCCCGTCCTCAGTAAAATGGTCGTTGCGGGGTATTGGTATTAGAAACTTCCATCGTTACGGCAGTGGTCACTCAGATAACCGCATGCTAGATTTCGATGCAAACTGCTATCAGCTCATTCAAGTGATAATGCGAATAAGGCTATTGTCTAACGTTTGTCATGGTATCATTGTAGTTTTCACGGGGAATCCAATATATTGGAAACCGCGCAGGGCATGTCTTATTGTAGTTTAAGCCTTTAAGTTAACAAGAGATCTTAAACATGTGTTAACCTGCTGCAAAAGATGAAGTCCCTAAAATCGAGAACTCAGCAAGGTGCTGACCGCATTTCACTAAGGGAGAAACGACCCCCATTTAAAAGAGGATTTCTGGAATGGATAACTGTTGGAACATTGATGCACGGGCCACCCAGCCGTACGTTGAACGTCGGGCCTGTTCAAGTCTTGCTAGCGCATCTCCTTTGTGAAGCACAGTTCTTTTTTTCCGCCGTAGCCCAGTGAGGGAAATAAGGCCAGGAACAAAAGTGTTTCTTGACCAGCAACAGACGAACAAATGAGTCTGGAGAGCAATATAGGCCAAAACGATACCAGGTCGAGGCGCGCGTAGATTGATTTCAGCAAGAAATGGTATCAAGCAAACATGCGCACCCATTATTGCCGAACTTGTCACCATTCTGAAAGAGGTCGGTGAGTGAACTGGTGAGGCCTTTTTGGTTGCAAAAAGAACGGCTGACGAACAGATCAGCTGTCGCTTGATCATCCAGCAGTCAACGCATCCGAGCTACAAACTGCCAACCGATTCGGGCGTCGCACTCTCAAAACAGCCAGTCGATGGAAGATGCCACTAGCCTCCACACAACAACAGCCACACTTGTCTGGAAATTTTTAGTCTTTATGCAATCACTATTTCTACCAACTACTGCAAATATACTTGGAATCGGCCGGTGTTTTCAACGGGTCATTTGCGACGAAATATAAGCCGACCGCCAAAGTCTACTGACGACCCCAACCTGGCAGTGGATTTACTTTCTGCAACGGGGACGTATAAAGGAATAAAAAAGCCTCTGCACTTTTGACCAGGTCAGAAAAACATGCACTTGTTGACCATTTACATAAGACGAGTGGGATGAAGGTGTGAAAGTCCAATTAATTGAGGAATAAATAGGAAGCGTCCTAGTTTAGTGGGACTTTCGCACCCGAATGAACATTCTGTAAACAGTTTATCCCCTTGGAAAACCTCACTACTCAAGCCGTTTCTTTCGACGGTTTCTGAAAGGGATAAACAGGGTTCGTGCGATCTTTTTCTGAAGAAAACTCAAAAAATTCATCCCAGTGCGGAAGCATCTGTATCGGTTTTCACTCTAAATAAGGTCAACCGGGGCGCGGTTTGAACCAGTAAATACCAATTATGAAGCTTTACACAATCAGTACAAGCTGCACGTAATTGAGTTATTACCCTCAAACAAGCGAATAGGTTGACAGATGAATAGTGTGTATGGATTGATTCAAGGCTTTGAACGAAATCTGTTTTGGCTAGATAGAGGGCGATAGAGGGCGGTATGTTTGCTTGTTCTGGCTGCCAGGGCCATAGCTATGCACTGCCAACAAGTTATAATAACAGCCATTATTTTCTACTGATAACATTGCTAGGGGCAAGCCTGGAGCGGGTTGTTCAAACAAAGTTGATCTGGATACGTATTTTTGGACTCCATTTTTATTCACACTTTAGCCGAAAATTTCTTTTTAAAACTTCTTTTCACTACGGCACTATTCATCCTTTAACTCCAAATAAAAAACCCATCGTTCTTAGCCCCATTCTGTTCCTGATACAAGTCAGGATCCGACAGTTGTTGTCTCGTACTCCTTTTCATCCTCTGGGGGATTTACAATACTGTAGACCTGTCAGCAAACGAAATATAGTCCGTTGTAACCGTGCTAGAGCCGACATGGCCGTTGACACACGAACATACGCGCGTGTGCAAAGTAGGCGAATCGGATGTGTTGTGAATGTTCCCTCGAGAGCATAGGGAAATAAGATGTGTGGTGTCAGAAAAGAAAGAAGAACGCTGGCGGTTCTGAATCCGTTCGCATTTTAGTTTCACCATCTCGAGGTTCCCACATTCTGTATGCTGGTCAATGAACCAATTTTCACTATCCTGTGACACCACTGAAAAACGGATGTATTCACGTTGCTATACACAGAACAAAGTTGTGGTTGAGTGTGTTCAATATATGTTATTATTCCAATGATCGGAAATCATTCTTGACAATTGGACAAATCGTGACTTCATAAATTATTCTCACCAATCAGAGATCTTCATGGAGGATCCGGCCCTAGGCCGGAAATTCAAGCCCGATCCCCAAAACCTCAGTAATGCGAGGGGTTGTTCCAAACAGCCACATGTCAGAAGAATAAACCACATGACACCGTTTGTTAATTGCAACTTACTAACATTCGGATCACAGGAGTACCAGTCAGTCCTACGATAGTTCACTTGTTATTTGATACAAGGGGACGAATGACCTATCATCTGACAGCCATCAGATTAGCTCTGGGAAAAAAGTCAAGGTTACCAAGATTCAACCCAATCTCCTTTAAATGAAATAAGTGAGCCGGCGCTACAATTGTGCATGGGTTTTTAAGTGATAGGATGACTCACATGGTAGCTGGTTGTCAGGAGAACGGACAAAGTAAAGAGGATTTAGGAGTGTCTAATTGCAAATGCTAAGCACTCAATGTGCAGTAAAAAAAAACTCTTCAGTGTGAACAACAAACAGTGGTCTACTCAACATAGGAAGTGCTTTTTTCATTAACGTATGTCCACCTAGATTGCCTTCATAAACTTTTTATCGACTTGCAAAGGTGAATTTCCATCCCAAGCACGTTTGCAACAATCAGTGAACACAGACCTGCGTCAGGGCACCAATGAAGCCCACAGTCTTAAACAGTCTGAATAATTCATAACAAGTAGCCCACTTATTGTAGGAACATGAGCACATCCCTAAGCATAAAAATGGACGGTCCAGAAACCTTGCAAATGAATTCAAACTGAGCAGTTAAGCCAAGCAAAAGGTAGCAAAAGTTGGAAGTAAAACCTTCATCACCAGGGCACTCTCAGTTATCCGGGTGTGCCAACAAGATAATAATGGGTATTCGATTCTTTCAACCTCATTTGTGTAGTAGTGTATTCAATCTTCATCGTGAACGGAACAACTGGGCTTGCTTTACGACTTGAGTGAAACGAAGTAGCCTTAACTACCTCTATGATTTCAGACCCTTACCTTGAATGTTTTTTCTTGTCTGATACTAGTGGCAGTCGTCGCACAGAGCGATCAGTATTCGTATAGAAGCTCACATGGACAGTAAGTGTAACAGTGTATAGCATCCGAGTCAAATCAGATGAGGGGCAAAAGCTCAGTGGTCTAGATGCTCATTCTGTCAATCAACTCAATTCGGTTCTCAGCTGTGAACAGTGTACCACAGGCACATTGATTCCAGCTGCTACTATTTCCATTACCGGAAAACTGGAGTGTGGGACATACAACGAATCCTTGGGGGTGGAAACTAAGTTTACTGGTTACTGTTTTCGCACTTCGTCTACAGGTCATACACTGTCCACCACTCGGTCACTTCTACGCAGCATAGGGCTAAAAAAAGAGTTATATGAGGCAGGTGGTCTTCTGGCATGCAGAGTACATGTCCCAAACAGCGCAACCTGTGAAGAGTGAGTAATTCATCTATTGCAAGAGAGTTCATCCTTCCCAAGATCATCTGCGGCACCTCAACATTACTAATCCGATGTTCCCACCAGACCTGACCAATGCGTCGGAGACGCGGATGGTCAAATACTGATGTTTTCCTTATGTCCCCTGCGCGTAGGAGCCACGTCTCTGATTTATAAAGCAGCGTGGATTGCAACACAGTAGTGTAAGATCTTCCTTTAACAGACAAACTGGTCCTTTTTGCACCATGGTTGTCAAAGTTTGGCAAAAGCTCTCCTGGCCTTTCCGATTCGAGAAACTATCTCATCTCCAGCCAGTCCTCCGGAATTTATACAGCTTCCCAAATAAATTTATATACCACGATTATTGGCCCGCCCGCAATTCTTGTAACAGTCTTGTAACAGAACTTTACAATTATGAGTTTGAAGCGCATGCCAAAACATGCGACAGAGTTATTCAGGTTGTTTAAAATAATTTGCAGTTGAGAGGGGTCTGAACCAAGTATACTCTGTATACTCAGTGTCTATGAGCGAAAGATCCGGGAGCAATAAGACTCCCGAGGTTTCAGAGGCTGGAAGATAAATTTGAAGCAGCATATCAAGAACAACGTTGAAGAGGAAGGGTGAGACAGTGCAGCCTTGTCTTACACCACTGGACGCGGTGAACTCAGGCGAGAACTCCCCGTATACTCGCACGCACCCACAGGAGTTCGCACACAGCGTCCTCGTAAGAGAGATAGATTTGGAAGGGGCGCATTTGATCACCAGACACTGCCAAAGTTGCTGACGATCGACAGAATCAAAAGCAGCTTTCAAATCCAGAAAAATAACCAACGTGAGACGTCTGAAGGAGTGGCACTTTCAAGAATTTGTCTCAATGTAAAGATAAGGTCTATGCATCCACGAACAGGGCGAAAACCAAGCTTGATTCTCATGAATCTATCTCGCCCGATAATCCATCAGTTTGCCCAAACTAATGTCAGGGAACACCTTAAATGCAACGGATACCAGGCTGATACCACGATGGTTCCAAAATGACGTTCTTCCTCCCTCTTTGAAAACTGGGATGAGGATCGAGATGCTCCATTCGGTTGATATTCTGTTTTCGTTCCAAATTTTCTGCAGTATGGTCATCAAAGTGTTCACCAGGGCCTTCTTTGAAGAGAGCGGGGTGCAGACCATCCAGACCATCCAGAGCAGGTACTATGTCACACTTCAGGATTAAACTCTCACAATGGATTTCGGTTGCGGGTGGCAAGTTGGTATTAATGTTACATTCGGGCCCGTTTGGTTTTTCCAATGGTTGTTCTGAAGAAGACCAGATGAACTGTTTTTGGAAGTGTTCAGCCCATCGCTCAAAGTTTCGATTGAGGGAGTGAATTACTGTTCCGTCTTTTCGCATACTGTCTCACTGACACCTGTCTTTTTTTGGCCGGTTAATCGAATCAGTTAGAACAGGGCGAGAATGCTTTTGCCTGTAGGAAAAGCTTTCTCAATCTCCTGGGCCTTCGAAGTCCACCAGCGTTCTCTTCCATTCTTCAAGCTCCTGGTTATCCGGTGTTTGAGGGCTTTGCATGCGCCATCATAGTCGTTATTTTCCGGTTTGGCTTTTCTGACAGAAGTAATATCTGCTGATCTTGAAGATATCCAATGTTCATTGAGTCGAGTCAGATAGACTGGACAAACAGTTCTGAAAGCTAACAGCATTGCTTCTTTAAAACGCCTCCATTCAATACAAGCGATCTTCGTCGTTCACATGACTGTGCGTTTCCAGTAACTTCCCAGCCAGATCAGCTTGGTACTCTTCAACTACTGAAATTTATCAAATTCGATGAGTGGAACTGCTTTCCTTTGACACGCGTAGTGCTGGCGTGAAGCGAGGCCCTAATCGGGCCCCCACGACGACCTGGCTCGTTCTAAGCAGCTTGAGGAGCACAACCGAAGCGGGGGCTTGTATGCGTGTTTCGGAGACACAACATACATCGACGGAGAGGGAAAGTAAGGTTTCAGCAAGGAACACCTGTCGCCCAATTCGACATAGAGTGCAAACATTGAAGGCTGCAACGTGGATCGGGTCTTTTGAAATTAGTAGGTGATTACTTTGGTCAATTTTTCTTGGCGATGGTTGAGACACAAAACAGTGGCTTGGGGATTGACAGATGAGTTGATTGCACTGCATTTTACGATGGGTTGGCAGGGAACGAGGGGGAAGGCCGGTGAGCAACGAGCTGCCAGAGCAAATGATTGTCCCCCGTTGTCCAGGCTGAAGAAGGAAGCTCAGTTGAGATACCCCACATTTAGACTTTGACTCCAAAGTCTGACCCACAAGGCAGTGGGAGTATGTAGTGTTTTTTCGGAGACCCTTTCCCTAGCTTCCGATTCAAGAGTCTGAACCGCGAGACAGCGGTTGTAAGTGCTTTCTTGGGGGACCCTTCCTGGAGCCAATGACTCAATAGTCTGACCCACTTGGCTCCAGCAGGCTGTCACTGAAAACTTCACGAATATTATTTTATACTCAAACAACAGTGTATGGTATGTGTAGGTAAAACATATCCCCTAACAACCTTTGATGAGCCTAATAAGGGCGAAACTGGTGGTGGCTTGTTAAATAGTCTGTATTAAGTTTGCTAGTAGTGTCTTATTAGGTGAGTTACCCTGATACCCCGAATGCCGGACCAAGTGGACTGAACGACACGATAGTTTTATTTGAAAAATGCCACGAACAAGTGGTCCATTTGAGCCCCGTTAACCATTGTGGAAATGGGAAACTGGGTGTCTGACTTCATATACGTCGCAATAATTGTCGAACCAAGAAATGAGAGAGATTGGACTTCAAGGATTAAGCTTATCAGTTGAGCCAAAAAGGAAAAAAACGTTTGTCGGCTTCCCAGAATATTGCATAGATAAAGTATAAAGAAAATTGTGTCCTTTACATCCTGAAGTCGTCTCATCAGTCATTTAATTGGAGGTGAAGAATTCCCTCGCCTTGGACAACCACAAGTATCCATATAATGCGTGCAGCAATAAGGAGTTTTCCCGCTTTGCTGTGCCACTCACCGGTTGATGTTCTAGTGTACTGCCATTCAACCGCTAATCAGTGTCAGATAATCACACAGATGGAAGAAAACGGGGTCGTCTTTGTCCTTCTGTTGCTTAGAAATCTAAACCAGATTTCAACTTGAGAAAATCAGGCTAACTATTGGTTGCCATTTCCTTATATGGCGCAGCTTTTGAGAAAATATTGGTTATAGTAGAAGGGTTCGTCCAAATTGGCAGAGGCAAAAAATAAATCAAGATGCAGAAGTGTTCTACCCCCGACAGAAATAATCACTACGCACCACACGGATCTCAAGGAGACCTGAAAACGCATTCTGCTATTCAGTTTCCTGTAGCTGATCAATAGTGCATTTAGCTAGTACTTGAACAAGGTAAACAGCGACCTATGCAATGGTCGTGTAATTCCGAATCATATAACCTTTTGTCAACTGTCTTTCACCTGATAAGATGAAGGTCGGTTTGCCTTACACAGTGTTTCTAACCTCATGTATATTTTGCAATTTGGAACTAGAGGGGGAAATTTGAAGTCCTAGTTCTGGATTGGTGACGGGATATTCCAATAGCAATTTTTTAATCTCCGCGCCCACAACGGAAATGTCATGATATACCGTACCGGTTGTCGTAAAGTGTAAAATTAAAACAAGATGGTGATAAAACTACAAAGACTGAAGTTAATTTTCACACACAGAAGGGAGTGAAATAAGTTAATACAACCGACGTCAGATTATTCTGACTCGGTAAGGATTACAAGCGTTGATATTTTTCAGCGGAACGACTCTGCTTCAATGAAATAGAATTCACAGCACAGATCCAGTGGACTATGAAAACAATGTTTTACGGAACACCTGGAACTCGTTCGACTTCGTGTACAAAAGGAGACACTTTGTTCTGAGTCGGATTGAGCAGCGTCACCTTATTTAGCGCTGTAGGCTATTTACAGTGAAGTTCAGGAATTTATAGTAAACAGAAAAATGAAACATTAGGCGCTAAAACGTTATTGCACTCCTAGCATACGTTATCTGCAATTTTTTGTAGGACGTACCGGCGATGTTTACCACAGCAACTTGGGAGTCAGAAAAATCTCGTCCCATTACAATTCCTTATGAAAGCTCATCGATAAATGCTCCGAATCCCGAAATCCGAAGCAACACGGATTTGAACCACTTCCTGTTGGAGTAGTCCGGACATTAGTCTGAGTGAGATAAATATTCAGCAATTTCAGACGGTACCAGTCACCCTGTTTGGTTACAACAACAGTACGACCCAGTTGGTGCCTCTGCGCCAGTGACTCGTGAGGCTCCACTGTGAGGACTGTGGTAAGTACTGCAAACGTAGAGCTGTCATGGTAGCCCACTGGAGGGTTCATGTTCACGTACACGTTCGTACGGTCGTCGTCACCTGTTTCCGGGTAGACTGGCCTGAGTCAACACCACCCACACGCACACGCCAGCCAGCATAATGCAGATAAGCTCGACTGAGCCTGAACTTGAAGTGACTGATGTTCCCCACACGCGTAAAAGTAACATGTGTGCCTGGCTGACAGGCTGTATCCGTCTTATGGCACGCAAACCGTGCTGTTCTTGAGAATGAAACGGTTTTCCCGGTCGATCGGTTCTCAGTACATTGTCATCCCCCGATGCTACAGAGAAATGCAGCAAATGTATCCATTGTCCTTAATATGGCGCATCACAGCGATTAAGGTGGTTGTTAGCTTTTTGAGCTACCAACTCAGTGTTTGCGCTGGATGACTTTCGGTAGAGTTGAGACGGGTTGGGCCGTACCGATCATGTGACTGGTGACAGCGCTTGTCACAAGTCTGGCCGTCCCGGTTTTTGAACAAACCGATGTGTTCGCTGGTTATCTGAGAGATCTACGTAGTTTGTGGGAAATTTACAAATAAAAGAAATGGAGCGACCGTGGATCGGTATCGTCCTTGAGATTTGTACTGAGTAATCGGCCACTGTTGAATTGTATCCTCAACTGTTCTGCATTGAGGCTTCGCCTAGCTCCTGATCACCTTTTACGAAGTGTTGTAATTTGTAAATGGCACCTGAATTTAGATGGGCTTTTTGGCGACCATTAAGCTGAATGTTGGCTGAAATGCCTCTAGGTAACCTTTCTCTACCGAATGCCTCCAGATAACCTAAGTTCATCATCCATTTTGTCATTTGTGCAGATCCCGTACTCACTGAGAATCTTATTCGGTCGAAAACCAAGGGTGCGTATCTCAGGAAATCAACGAACACATATCAGTTTAGTTGTGGATGATGGTGAGATTTGTAGAATTCACGTTCAAACTACTCTCGCTATAACCGTTACTCCTCCTGTCCTGCCTCAATTATCCTGGTGTATCCCCACCGTAGGATGGAGCGCTAGAAATGAGTTTCGTCCTTAGTGGGGCTCATCAACAGTGCATATCTTTGGTCGGTGTTAGAAATCCGACCGTCAGACATAGGGGGTGAGCATAATAGCACTACTCCACCAGCCATGCTGGACGCATCTGAATTATCACGTCCATAGATGCGAAAGTGCTTGGGTTTGAGCGCTCTGTCGAAAAACTGGGGTGGTCAAGCCTGGTTTGCTAGACGCTTCGACCCGTCTGGCCTGTCTCACCAGTTATCTTGCGAAAGTGTCTGTAATCCGGCAATATCAGCCTTACTACTTCCCCTACGGCTATCATTTTTTCACAATTCAGGGAGAGATCAGCAACTGAACTAAAGAACGAGCCCTGCTGGAACCTATAACATATTTCCTATAATTCTAGACAATTAGCGAAGCGATTTTTAACTCATTTTTTGTAGGAGGCATCCACGTCATTTGGCAAGCCAGTACTATTAAAGTACACATGACGGTAAAAGGCACGAGTGCATCAATGAAG